CGCAGGCTGGAGCATGTAAGCATAAATGTGGACGGATGGCTTCTCCGGCGTGGGGGTTAGGGGGGGAGGGGGGGCGGGGGTGATTATTTATGCAGGAATGTTTTTGTGTGCGTGCGTGCGTGTGTATGCTGAGACTGTTGACTGACTGTTTTCACTGACGTCAAGGTGGGTGTCAATTCTAGTTTTGCGACCGAATGCGCAACGGGGCACCTAAGTTGGCACAGAGATGAGTCCTGCTAGGTTGGCTGACCGCCGTACCAATCAAAATATGTTGCTGTTTCAATATCTCGACGTTATAAGCAATGCGTATGTTAATGAAACGAGTACTACTTCTTTGATGTGCTCTTAATCCCCCCCCCCGCTGTTTTGTTGACACTAACCGGCCGTCAGTGTGAGGGTTACGGGGTTGGCCTCATTGATACCTGTTCAAACAAAGAAAACGCACTTTTATGGAGTTTTCTTCTCCCGCGCGCAATGCTGTTCGCGCTAATTCTACCGTGGTCCGCCTTCGGAGAGGACATGCTGCAGAATGGAGCAAATCAAGCATCTGAGAGCCGCATCGTTCGGTTTTGGCTAGAAACCCGTTTTGAGTTAGTTTGCCTGCAGATACCTACACAATTTCTGTCCCGGCATAATTTCCACCGTAGTTATCGTACCATACTGTGCATGCAACTGACAAGGTTCTAAAAAAACCACAGGGTACATCATTTGAGGCGAGTCTATCCCGGTGGCTGTCGGCATAGGCGATGTCGCCTCAGATGACCTACCTATAAGTATGGCGACAGCCTAGGCCTCGGAGTGCTGTTCAGCTGACCAAAACCTGTTCCGACAGCGGTTTTTTGCTTAATCAGATAGCCTGAGCACAGGTTCGTTTACAGCAGATGACAAAGAGAATACGCGGCAGTTTTTTGGTGAATTTCGTTCCAAAGGGCTCTAATTATCTGACAGAGTGTGCATAATAGACCTATTTTCATCGCCCCGACTCATAACATGTGCAAATTACCAGTGCCGTTGTCATGTTAGCGCCAGGTTGCGCTAGACGAGGAGAACAGCGAAAACAGAAGGACATGTTAATTTCTGCTCCATCGTAGAGACTTTGGCAGAAGGCAGAAGAATGTGTTAGTCCAAACAACAACCAAATAGAGCAGTTGTCCAGGCACTCTCTTCTCCCTCTGTATTTCTAGTGTCTGCTGTTTTAATGTGTGCCTTTGGATTAGCATAATTGCAAGGGCTAGAGGAATCTTCAGAATGAAAACGACAGTTGCATGATAGTCGGACTGACAAAATCGTAATTCAGTCAAAAGTCCCTTAACAGGTGGGCAAAATAACACTTTGAATAAACTTGTGAGGTCTGCAATTTATAAATGAATGCAGAAGCAGAAAACGCAGGATCGTTGCAGCTCCTCAGTAGGCCTCAGCCTACGGGCACATGACTCCACGTTCCAAGGTCAAGCTCGACTAATTACCATACAGCTGCGTCTCGGTTCCGCCTACATGCGGCTTCTCTGCTGCACGTGTTATTCGAGTCTGAGACTGTCGCGGCATGTCCCGATAGAAACCGACAGGGCAACGGGCTCGTGGCCCAGTGGGTAGAGGCGTGGACTTCTAAACCAACAGGTCGCGAGTTCGAGGCTCGGGTGTTCCACACTTCGGGCTTAGGTATGACTGGCTGACGATGGCTTATAAGCCAGAAATGGCCACTCCAGTCTCCATTGTCTTTGTCGGTAATATCGTTCTGCCTATATCATACGCCGCTGTGCAGCTGCTGGTTGGGCTCGAGAGAGAGCCCGTAAGGCACAAAGGAACGAGCGAGTTCCGTAAGAACGATCGGTGAGCGCCACCTATCATTACATATATATATGTATCATGGTAGAGGAAGGCGCTCACTGACCGTTTCTACGGAACTCACCCGTCCCGTCGTGTCTTACGGGCTCTCTCTCTCGAGCCCAACCAGCAGCCATCAACGGTGAGCGCCTTTCTATCATGGTACATTCCTGATCGCAGGCGACAAGGCGACAAGCCCATGGCTCAGTTGGAGCCTTCCTCGCACTAAAGAACAATTTGCGGGGCTAGCAGGACAATGAACCGATATAGAAAATTCAGCAGTATCGACACTTCGAGGCGGCATAGGTCGTCGAATGTCATTTTGCCGACCAAAAAGTCCGCAGAATAACACCTACTTTGAAAAATATAGTAGACAGTTCGCGATAGCTTTGTCTCACCCAGAGCATATACTTAACCCTTAGCGGATTATGGTTGGGGTTGTGTGGTGGTTAACTTTAGGACATGGAAAAAAGTATCCCGGGGGTCGATATTTCGGCCAAAGTTGTCCCCATGATTCGTTAGAAAAAGGCGTTTTTGGTACAAAGAGTCATGGCCTCTAAAATAAAGCATAGAGCGATGCAGTTCACTGAGAAATAGAGTAAGCATTCTTCTAAACATAGCAGTCTTTAAATGCATAACTTTCTCAGTTGAAATTGAAACTCAGAAGACTAACGGCTTTCGATTGATCCTTTTTGAGGTAGTGCATTTGAATGGAAAAGGAATCCATTAAGCATGTGAGTAAAGATAAATGCGAAACCTGATGGCAGCCACTTCCCTTCTTGATACCAGACGCTGATCCAGTAGCTCGAGATAGTTCTATGATCCCTAGGAAGACAGAGCGAAAGCTGGTTGAGACCGAACTATCTGACGGCAGCTCCATAAATAAAAAAATTGTTAACGTCCTTGTTATCGCAGCGTAAGCTTACGCGACGAGACGGTGAGGTCCAATTTTTAGAAACTAAAGAAAACGGCCATCGTACTTAGACGGCATTATTAAATACCTTGCTGACAAACACATGGCCAGAACCAGCTCATTTGTTGCTGCTGACGCAAGGGCCCAAAAACTCAAGCGGATACAATGAAGATTCCGGTGATCCCATGCCTTCTCTCACAAGCGAAGTACTGTCAAAAGTCTGATACATTGAGCAAAAACACATTGATCTGATGAAGAAAGCTACAAAGTTGAACTAAACTGCTTGTTTGAATTATTCTCCCAGAACGGTTACCCTAGAGATTTCGTACGTCGATACATGAGACAACGAGAGATAAAAACAAATGAACCAGATAGTTACAATCAAGCACCCAAAGCAAACACTTAGCGAATCCTTCCCTACATCAGGAATGTGTCTGAACTTGTTGAAAGACACTTGAGGAAACACCAGATAAAAGTGGCGCACAAGCCGACGACTACTTTACGCGCCCAGCTTGTACACCCTAAGGACAGGGTTGGCTACCTCGATAGAAAAGAAGTCGTCTATAAGATTCCATGCGATGCCTGTGATGCCGTATATTGTGGCCAAACGGAAAAATTTGCCTCTACACGCATCCACGAACATCAACTTGCACTTATGAGGCGAGACCACTTGTCTCAAATGACCATGCATGCTCTTGATACTGCGGAAACTTTCGCATGGGACAAAACTCGCATCGTTGGAGTTAGCGCATCTAAAAAAGGCCGAGAGTTTCTTGAAGCCATGCACTCCGATGAGTCATACATCAACAGGCATATCGAGTTGGATGCCACGTACAAAAATCTCAGAGAAAAGTAAAAGATACGAAAGCCGATCAATACGGATTGACGCATACGACGGCAGCTTACTGGCTGAAGCACTAAGTGAGTATTGATTTTGTAGCACGTTTGCAATTTTAATTGTTTTCTGCACATTTACTCTAGTCTGACGACGACGCGGGGAACCGACGTCGAAAATTTACTCAATAAAGTTTTCCCTTTTTCCCAAAGAACGTATATGATTTCAAAATATATATATATTACTTATATACACAGGATATATATGCATATATACACATTATATATATGCATATATTGACAGTGCAATAGGATAATTGTGCACACAAACTAAAACGAACTAAGATTATTTTTAAATCCTTGGCAATAGGGGTTGTGTGCTATAAAAACATCGGTAAAAGACGTGGAAATATCAGATCGCATGAATTGTCATCTGACGGTAAAAAAAACACCTCTTCCGCTTCCTTAATGCGCTTACTTTTTACATACTTGGTATAAAAAATGACGTGTCCGCAAGTAGGAGTTTTATTTCCGATAGTCTTCGCGCACATGACTGGGGAGACTGTCATTAAAGTGGCGGCGTTTATCCCGTCTGAATTGTTGGCCGGTTCAGAAGCCTGCCTAACCTCTCGAGCCAAGGTTTCATACACTTGAGTTTAAACACTCTACTTTAAAATGTCCATAATGTGGCCACCTGGATCTCGCTGAAACATTAAACATCGAAAAAATCGGGCTGCTCTCTTGGCGTTCCTGGCCACAGGCTCGTAAGTTGTCTCCAACACACTCTGGAGCCTACCGACATCAGGTTTGGGCTCACAAGACGAAAAAGTGACACTTGACCACAAAAAGTGCATCACAAATTTAGATTTTGGTATGACAGTAAGCCAGCCGCATCAGGGCTTAAAAAATCTTCAAGGCTCCGCGGAATTGCCCTCCTACCTGAGGACGTCTTGCGGCCCTCCCAACTAGTTTGCGAAGGCGATGCCGCAATGGGCTGATTGTATAAAGAGACATGTCAACGCCGTTTGTTTACTGGTGAGAACTGTGTATTCGCCAACCCTGGGAACGCTCCGTGGTAGCGCATCACCTCACAGG